GGAGAATGTCATTTATTTATTCGGTAAGATAATTCTGTTTCAATACACATAAGTTTCGACATCACGCCATAAAGTAGATAAATATGTATAGAAATGAGAAAGACACGTTATTACTTCAAATATATAATATATCTGACGATAAAATTTGTCTTATTTGTTTGTCTGTTACTTGTTGCTGATTCTCTTGTGCAGTTTATATTTCGTTTGTATTATCTTTGGTGAAAACACGAAATATTGTAGCTCATCCATTCAGTGAAGATCATACTCGTGATTATTTGATAAATTTAACTGAATATGGAACAAGAGTAAGTAATACACATGGTCATTTTCATGCACGTAATTTTCTCATTTCAAAAATAAAAGGCATATGTTCAATGAACACAAGACATTGTCGATGTGAGCTTGATCTTCAAAATTTTGCTGATTCTTATCGTAATTAATTACAAAATATTATTGTTCGTGCATCAAATTCAGCTACAAGATCCAAAAATGTGTCCAGTCTGATGGTAATTGCTCATTACGATTCAGGTAATTATGGTTAGAAATCTAATGATTTGGAAGAAAAATTTCTTTTCTACAGTGGAATCTAGTTCTGGAGGTAATGACGATGGCTCGGATGATGTTACTTTACTTGAACTTCTCTCGAATATGGTCAATGATTTAGCAGTGACATTTTCTGATCTTCATCTTATCGTTCTATTTACCAGTACTGAAGAGATAGCTTCATAAAGTGCACAAGCATTTATTACCAATCATAGTTGGAGTTCTAATATTCGTCATTTTATTAATATCGATGCGGTTAATTGCAACGGAAAGGCCAACCTAGTTTGAATAAAACTATCAAAGGTTCTCTTCGCTCTTTATATCTATCTTTTCCGTTTTCTATGTTTTTTTTTCTAGCTTATTCTTGATTATCGTCGAGTGATGAGACCATATGCCAACGTGATCCTCGAAGATATTTCAGAACAAATCAGATTGATAAATGATTATGATAATTTCAGTTTAAGACACACAGAATTAAACTAAAATTGTTTTTGTCAGAATTCCTCTTGTTTTCCAAAAAAAGAATCTAATCATTATCATCAAAGCATCCGCATTCATATTTTAGTATTAAGATGAACAACTACATTCCGCACCGGTGACTTTGTAACGATCAATGAATTGTAGACGAAAAGCGATCGTTGTTGACGATCAATGATGAACACAGCGACAAAAACGAGACTCTATGCACTATAAGTCGATATCAAAGACGGAGACATGATCTCAAACGTTTCTATCGATCGACTCGATGACAAGACGTAGAAAAAGCGAAAGAAAAGAACTTACACTGAAGGTTTCTCCTTACATCGAAAACATGTTCTGCGTTACAGGTCAAACTTCGATCATTCTTCAACATCGAATTTGTGCACAACAAAGGTTGATTGTAGCGACAAGATAAGAGCTTGAATGTTCACAATATCAAAGTAGTACCTTCACTGGCCTAGGCGATATGAATCAGATGCTTAACATGATTTAAACATATGTAAATGTGATGATACGATCTCATATGTCATCCTTTAACTGAAAACTGTTATTAAGACAGTTTTCGGCATTCTTGCTCATAAGACTCATCGGACTTTGGATAACTAACGCAGAAATTAGTTAACTTATTTCGTTTCAAATATTAGATCGGAACAAGTTAAAGTAGAGAACAACAATACTTTAAGAATTAAAAAGCCTGATAACCATATTTCGTAAAACAGCCTAAATTGGCAAGTCGAACATATTGAACTGATTTTTTGTACTGAATATTAAAAAAAACCATAGGACATGCTTTCAATAATACAGAGATATAGTTTTGTAGAGAATTGAAAACAGAATTGTTTGATAAAAAATTGGTTTCGAAATGGTGAGAACGGGATGAGATATTGTAAAAATACTGGAGCCATCATTTATCTTGCGCTATCCGTTTCATCAATGCGTCATGGCAAAGAGAGTAAGTGAGAAAGGATTTAGGATACCTTTGACACAAGTTTCTAAAACATATGGAGGCATTAGGTGGAGGATACAGAATAAGTTCTAATGCACGCAATCAATTCCTAATAGTAAATAAAACACCGAACAAAATTTATGCCGACACTTTGTATACCGGATAAATTCACCATGCATGTACTGATGTTGCACCACGACTTTTTAATCGAATGATGTTCCTCAAGTCCAATGTCAAGGTCATACCTCTAAATGATATAACATATGTCACCGTTTCTTTATTAAAACATGTTCAATTTCTCTCTAGAATACGCAAACAGACAGATTTAAATAGTTCATACAAGTTTATAAAACACATCAGTTCTTATTAAATATTTCACTCCGTTTGTCACAGAACGTCCTCGGTGTTTCTTTGCATCAGGATGGCCATCATGCCAAAATAATACTGCATTGCCTGTTATAGGCTTAATAGAAACGCCATTGTCAAAATCTAACTCTCCACCTTCGAAGTCATCATTCAACCAAATGACAAGTGATGCAAAGGACCGCTCACTATTATCTCGCGCACAGGCTGCGTCGATATGATATTGAAATTCTTCACCTTTGCTCGTTTCGAAAAATCTCCAGCGACGATTCAGACCTGACGATTCCCATAGGCCGACATCATTCATCACCACTGGTGGTTTCCAATAGGAGATAAGCCTTGTATATAGACGGTCGACTTCAAGACATGGAACTTGCCATATGCATCGTTTATTTGTTCTTATGGATGTCGACGCAGGCCATATAAGAGGAGTACTAGTGGACACAGAGTGATTCAGCACATATTGTCCAATAGGAGTTATCTCATGTGATGCATCGTAGCCAATATCCAATTATGCTTTTTTCCAATTCTCACATTCATATTCGGTGAAGAATCCGTTAAAAATCCATATACCATCAGAAGAAAGTGTGCACCGAACCATGGAAGGTTCACTTCGTTTGGTATTCCAGTCCGTAGGCAAAGAATGTTCGGATGAAAACTCTAAAGGAAGTGTTGACGGTTACTCACCCCATGTAAAGTTTATTTCATTCTGTGATATCGACTCCATTTTGCAGTTATTTATATTACAATGAATAGATTATCTATAGAAATGGGATAAACGATATCACTACGATATAGAGCAGAAAATGAAAGATACAATTACTACGTAAGAGTCTTTATATGTTGCTAAATTCATTTTCCGACACTGTTATTACTACTGTTTGGGAAAGTTTGTTTACTCTCACAATAGGCGAAACAGAGAGAGCAATTGGTGTGAGCAAGAAATCTTACGAAGGAAGGCCTCAAGTGATTAAAAGCTATTGAACTCATAGTTTTTCCATTGGGTGTGAGACCACTAGATTAGAAGAACTACCAAAGAACTCGTCTTCTTATTAAGTTTTGACTAAAACATCGAATTTTTAGTAGATTTTTCTTATAATACTCCAGTTTTCCACTTAAATAAAATTTTTGAATTTTGGTCAGAAATTCTTTCCAAACGAAGGTCTCCATTAGAGTGATTTTTATAAAGACTTTCAAAACTCTCGAACATTATTTCTTTGAGATATTAATATTTCAAAATACAGTGCTTTTCTAAAGATCACATATAGAACATGGATATTTTGAAATATTAATATCTCAGAAAGGTAATGTTCAAGAGTTTTGAGATTCTTTGTATTCAATATTTTCAACACCGGGTGGTAATGATGTTTTACCAAATGACTTATCAACATCTGTTTGTTCCATCATAAAACTATTCTACAAGCAAAGTAAGGAGAAGAAAGTAATGATATTGATACTATTCACATAATCTTTTAGTACATCAAATAAACAAGTTAATTTAAAAATATACATGCAATGAGATCTAAATATGCAACTAGAATAAGTGAAATGTGTATAAAAAATAAAATTAAAAATCTAAAAAGAAAAAGAGAAATTTCAGTGTTAAATTCATTAAAACTAAAAGAAAATTTCTTTTCAACTCCATCTAAAACTATAATAAATAAGAAGAAGGCGAACAACTTTTAATTTAATGACATAACAAAAAAGCAAGCTGCTATTTTTTTTTACTTTACAAAGTACCATCACGGCACCGTGTTTTTTTCCAGTAAAGTGCAAAATCAAGTACTTTTTCAAAACCATAAGCATCTTGGATACTTTGCTTGTACTTGACGTATTTAGTATTGAAAATACTGGATTCAAATGTCTAAAAAAATAAGACGCATCTCATGTCTAAACTAGAGTATAGACGGATACACCGTCCTGTAAGACACATGGCAGTTTTTATGATGTATAAGAAAAAAAAAGCTGAGAAACAATTAAGCTGCTATCTTCTCACCCAATGAAAACTTTCTGTGCATCCATGTACTACGTCCAGAAGATGTCATACTATTCCGTATATCAATTGTAGTCAATGAAAATCAATATTGATGTGTCAGTCAGGGTTGCCAGATAAAAAATTTAGAAATCGGATTTTCTTATAGAAAAATTCGGAAAATTCAGGGAAATTCGGAATTTTTTTTTAATCCATTCGGAAAAAATTCTGAAGTCAATTTTTTAACATTTATGGTAACGAACTGATAGTATTTGTGTTAAAAGAATATTGTCTACATCACTCATAATTTATTTTTATACTATTTATTTATTGAGAAAAAAAGTTGAAATGTTATTTCACTATTAAAACCAATTGCTTTCTAGAAAATATAGGTTTTCGAAAAAAAAACAATATAAATTTTATATACTGTCCCATAAATCACTTGGTAATAAAAAATTTAAATATCTCCCATCAATTGCCTACCAGACAAGCTGAACTTTTGACCAGCACTAGGGACTTAAGTTTCTTTTTCATAAGAGAACCATCGACAAATACTGTTTCTAGGTAATAAGATCAACATCAAGAATGATTTTTCGCTTGCTACAAGCTAAATAAAAATGTTTCAGGATGATTCCAGAGTATTTTTTGTAAACATTTTCCCATCTATTTGTGATCTCTTACACAAAAGTAATAAGATCTCATTATAACTGAAGTGTTTACATTCTTAGATTTTCAGATTCAAAATAAAACTAGAGTGTGTGTGGATTTTGGTCTTCTCACTCATATATCCGCACCTACATCACCGCTCAGCCACACCCATCCTCGTTTCGAACTTATTATTTGTTGCTATGACTTTTAACAGATCTTGTTAAGATATTATAGATATATAAAAATTATTGCGTGGAATATTTGAATTTTTTCGGATTTTCAACTGCGCCGCAACTAATTGAATATCCATACGATTGCGATAATTGATCCATAAATGATTCATTTGACTAAATATAGATTTAACATGTGGATTACTATGTGGAATAGAGAAAAAACGTAACATATAGTGGTTTAAATATTCGATGTTGCATCTTTAAGATTTATTAAATATGATCATAACTGATCAGAACGAATGTTTTCGTCAATGTCTTTATTGTCATGTAATAATAAATCTTCATTATCACTGTCATCACATAAACGACTTCCTTCGTTGTATGCTGTTGATTATGCATTATGAGCATTTTTATTTGAAATACGTGATTTTATTATTTATTCCATGTCACATGTTTATTTTTCAAATTATTGTACATAAATTTTAGTTCACAATATTCATTATATAGTTCATCTTTATTTGAATCACCAATCTTGATCAGATCAAGAACGTTCATAACATATTCCCATATGAGAAACCAAGCAGAATGGCAATCAAAAACCAATAATTTTTCATGGAAATTGCGATCTTTATCAAAATATGAATTACTATATTCAATAGTAACTTTGATGAATGATTCAAATGATTGTTGTAATTCTTCAGCTTTATTCTTATCAGAATCTTTAAATAGTTGAGTATCGTATGTGCTTTGTTGCCAAAATAATGATCATCCAGTGGTTGTTCAAATATTTTTAATTAAATCAGAAATAATTCGATAAAGGTAGACAGCTGTTATATGTTCATCTGAGTAAATTGCGAAGTAAAAAGTGAAATTCGGAAAAAAATCGGAAAAGAATCCCGATTCGGAAGAATTCGGAAATTCGGAACGCCGTCGGAAAGAAAGTCAAAATTCGGAATTTTTCCTGTCATTTCGGAAGATCTGGTAACCCTGGTGTCAGTGGTTAAGTGAACGCCGATGTCGGTGCAGTTAGTGTGGTAGTGTCAGTGTAGCCAGTGTGTCAGAGGTCATCGGTGTCTCTTTGTCAGTGATCAGTATACTGAAAACTGCACAGTCCTAGGTTTATATTTGGTTAAAAGTCTTGAATACAAATATTATTTTTTATTGTTTTCGAATGAATTGTTGTAAATGTTTGACAGCTTGGTTAAAATCTTTTTTTTAAATACTTTTGAAGTTAATACAAAGACAATAATCCACTATATAATAATATAATAAGACGAGATAAAGCAAGAATAATAAGAAGATATGAAGAAATAATTCTGTTTCTATTCTTGAAATTATTTATTAAAATACTCTCAAATAAGTGAAAAACAAAGGAAGACACCCGACATGACTAGTCCAAAATGTCAACAGCACCCGTCATGAGTAGTCACCTTTTGAAGGAATGTCCTTCAAACACGTTTGAATCAGTCTAAAATGTCCTTGAACCGAGTCATGTCTAGTCCGTTTTGCCCGCCGACTCCATCCGGACTAGTCAGAAGACTAAAAACAGAAGATGAAAGGTGAATTTCAACATTCAACCCGACAGTATTCGAAATTTGACGGGCATCCTGATGTCAGTTTATACAGCCTAAATCATAGATAGACTCCCATCCATCCGCCAGACAACTGGAAACCAGTCGATATCAAATGACTTTGACTAGTCTGAAACGTCTTTAATAGTAGTCAGAAATAGTCCAAAGTATCATCTGCACTCGTCGTGACTAAATCCCCCCTAGAATAAAAGACCCCGGGTCTTCTATTATGTTTAGCGGAAAAATTTTTTAGGGGGGGTCTTGTATTATGACTCTCGTTTTTTTGCGAAACTTACGAGTGTTTTCGAAGAATCCAGTAAATATAAGTTTAATTTCAGGTTCTACGGCTTCTCAGCTTCTATCATAGTAACCAGATGCTAGGAAAAACATTACTACATCTTTTCACAGCAACAAGCAATAGGAAGTAATTAATACCAGCGACTATATTATTTGAAAATTCTATAATTTCTGGTTTCTGCTCTAAATATTATGTTTTTAAGCTTTGTATGGCTCACATATATTTACGAAGAAACTAATAGCAACCGTAAGTTTGGGTCAAGGTTTTTCAGCCTGTTCCCTTTTCCCCATTAGATGTCGTAGCAATCACTTAAATTTAAAAGGTTGTGGAAACTTTTAGAATATTTTGATTATCAATAGTTTGAATATTATTATGAGCATTAGCAAAAAGCTAGTCTTCTCTTTTTGCGCAGATAAAAGCTTGTACGATCCATGAGAAAGATAGTCTTTTGTGTTTTTTCATAACTGCAGTATAAGTTACATAAAAGCGTGATCAAACTACTTTCTAACTTTTAGAAATATTTATTTTGTGTCTTGCTCTGTACATTAATATGCATACAAGTTTGTCAGGATCTGGCAAAGACACAACCAATGTCTATACTAAGCTTATTTAACTATTAAATTAAAGCTTAAATCGAATGATACGAAATAATTATAATCTCAATTAACAGAAGAATAACACAGCGAAGAGCGACAAGAAAAAAGCACGTATTAAGAAAAAAATTTCTGAAATGTACGAATAGAAACTGATATAAATTAATCACTATGATCAGGGTTTCTTTAAAAATTTAACATTCTGCGTCGGTATTACTACTATTATAAATATATTCTAGAAATGTAATAAGTGGAGCGAAGGGAGAGGTAGTTATTCGAAATGAAGTAGTTTCTTTGGGATAAAGTTTTACAGCGTATGCTTTAACTCAAACAATAGAATTAGTCGTAGCAGAGGTCCAAGCAGGCCGCCTTTTTGTAGGCCTAGCCTGCCTGTACCAGGCCTGTGTCTTCCATGGCCTGTCTGGCCTGTTAACTTTTTTTCTTCGGCCTGGTCTGCCTGCCTGCCATTTTCTCCGGCCTGCCTGGCCTGCCTGGAAAGGCCTGTATATTTTTTTAATTTCAATAATATGATGATAACAGAACAGAAATAACAAGATCATCATAAAGAATGAAGCAAGTGACTTGTTTCAATTTAAAATGACTAGATTAATCATTTTTTATTCAACAGTTTTGATATGAAAAAAAAACTGAGCACAGAGACAGTAGAATTAAGAAAAAAAATCTGGATTTCGTTCAAGAAGATTTTGAATGGATCTGACAAAAAGAATGTTGTTCACGGTATCAGGATCAAGAGAAGAACGACGTTCAGTAACAGCTAAACCTGCAGCAGAAAAAGAACGCTCGACTGCAGCTGAAGTAACTGGTATAGAAAAAAGACGTCGAGCGAGCAATGATAAACATGGAAACTTGTGCTGGTGATGTTTCCAAAATGGTAATGGATTTGATTGTTTATAAATATCTTCAATATTCATTTTTAAATATTTATCTAATTCATCATTTTTAACTGTTGTTGTTGAAACCATATCAATAGCATTAATACCACCAACGTCATCTGGATCAGCAAACTGGTCCTCCATGGATTTATG